GTTACAGTATACCTGACCCTCATACTGTATTAGTGAATACCACACCTTGACAGACTGTTTGATAGATGATGATTAATGTGAGTGTTGGGTCAGTTGTTACAGTACCAGTTCCACAGAAGGAGTGCCAGTAGCAGACTGAGAACCTCAGCCAGTCCTCCATCTTCCTCCCCATCAATACCTGCATAGAGAACACTGATCTCTGACCAGCCTCCCGTAACGCTATTACTCTGCTCCCATCATGGAATGCAGTGCACATTACCTAGCAGTATCACAAGGGTTATATCCCACACCACACCTACCTCCTCTGCATTGTAGTGTTTGAAGCACATGACATCTCCTGGCCCAGCAGTGGGGACATATGGGATCTTCTGAATGTCTGCAAATGTTATGCAATATTTCATGATATTGGGAATAACAGCCACACTACAATGCAACACGTCTGCCTTAGCATCTGTGTTTATGAAGCTCAAAATTTTGTGAAATTGTCAAATATACAAATTCAATTATATGTTTATTATTAAGGTCATAGTTAAAGGTGGTGTTGTACTGGACTACATTATATTCAGAGGTGTTCCTAATATTCTGACCCTCATATATGTAGCTGGGGAGGACAAAATATAGACACCTCTAAATATAGTGTAGTCCAGTACAACAACACCTTTAGCTATGACCTCAATAATAAACATGTAATTGAATTTATACATTTGACAATTTCACCAAAAACTGAAACACTTTGAGCTTCATAAACACAGATGTTAAGGTGGAAGTGTTGCACTGAAGTGCATACAACTGTACAGGTGTACCTGATAAAGTGGCTAGTGAGTGTGCATCTCTATGCCATATTGCTTCTCACACACACACACACACACACACACACACACACACCCTCACTATTGTTAGACAACTGTTTGAAACAGGGCAAAAATAAACATGCCAGTCTGTGGCTGCATAACAGTCACGACCGTACGCGTCCAAAGCCGGATGACGTAAGCAGCCCCTGTGTCGCCTGCTGTGACAGATGTTTGAGCAAACAACTCAAGATATATGGGTTGGTTACTTTGGTCTAACACGGCCTTCGTAGTTCAAAGCTACTCACACACCGAACTCTTAACGTCAACAAAACACTATCAGCAGAAAGCGTATGCAGCACCACTGACTACTTAAATATAAGCTCTTACCCGCAAAAAATTCCTCTTGAGCAGCCATTTCTGAAACTTCTACGCTGCTGCTGCAAATTGGTTTGTCCACGTTCTTCCTCCCAAAGAGTGCACCTTCCTCTTCGCACACAAGATGTCACTAAATCCTTTAAAAACCCGACTACGTCCTTTTCGGGTTGCTGGATTTAGAGTTTTCACTTTGAGGATTCGTCAAAATGTTACAGTAAATTTAAAGTAAATTCGTGTCATTTGATTTAGTCAGAATGTTTTACTTGGCAGTTAGCGGCAATTTGTGTCTCTCTCGTCAACAGTATACGGTCACGTGCGCATACAGACGCATAGGCTATATTTCAAAATAAAATATAAACAGTCTGGTTGTGTTTATTATTTGCTATAGATATAAACAAATTATACATCATAATGCTGATTTCCTATTGGCTAGTGTTATTGTTACAGTTTATGGTATACAGATAGACATATGGCCTATTGCAAAATGGGGATTTTTTTTCCTGGATGTAAGTAGTATGTATTTAAAACTTCATTAGATCGACCTTATAATTAAGCAAAGAGCAATAACACAGGATGATTACTTTTGCATACTTTTCTTTTAATTGAGATACTCCAGGTTCTCTCCGTACATCTATATAAAAAAACACATCTTACTAATTTGACTGTATTTTCACAATAAAATACTTATTGAGTTCAAAGACAAACATTAAAATATATGTGTAAAATAATTTGATCAAAATGTGTTAATTTTGTAAACACAATAGGCCATATTTTATAATGTTTGTTTTTAATATTTTAACTGTCTTGACTAATAACAAGAAGGTGCTCTTGATTGTCACTGTATGTGTGAGCTGGTGTTAAAAAGGGAGCTCGACATTTCTACCGGTGAAAGCAGCAATATATTTTCACTTGTCTTATCAAGACAAAGGTGAAGCAATGAAATGAAGCCATGAAATAATAAATGTCACTACCGAACACAATACTATCTGATCCATGTTCAATACACTGTTTATTTCAATTACAATGATGCTTTTATAAAAGATCTGATGCAGAAGCATCCACAGACATGTAGAAATGTTAACAGGATACCATACACACATAACCCATAAATACTACATATTAACACACTATAGAAAAGTACACATCATCCCTCAGAGCCTTTGGTCTGGGACACACACCAGGTGGAAACAACGGAAGAAAAGTTCTCCACTGTGCACCGCTGCAGCCCTATCATAGTTCATATCAGTACAGAATATACAGTACACACACACAATGCCATTGGCCTTCACCCATTATGAAAGAATGCTTTGCACTGTTTTTAGGGATTTGCCACCCTGTGTGTCCATTTTCATAATGCTAACATTTTTTGCATAAGTACAGCATGGAAGGCAAATCAAATGCAACCAAGCACCAGGCGTTGTAGAATGAGGCACTTGAGCACCTGACCCCTCTGGTTTGGCACATGAGAGTGGCATTGCACTTATAACTACGTGTGTGTGTGTGTGTGTGTGTGTGTGTGTGTGTGTGTAAAACAGAGAGAAAGCCCTGTTCATAAATCTCACAGCCACCACCTTCTCCCTACTGCCTGTTCTGCCTCTGAAAGAGTTAGATTAATCCTTCTTATATGTACACTTCCACCGTTGCACTGACAAGGATTCCAGTCTGTCAAGCCATGAGAAAGTACTCCACTGTTCCATATGTGTATTCTTATCATCCATGCAGAACTTGCACTTTGTTGGTTTCCTTAGGCTTCATGAGAGAGGAAGTTGCTATGATGTGGAAGAGTCTGGATAGCTGAGGTCCTTCTTCTTCTTCTTCTTCCTCTTCGTCTTATTCCCTCTGCAGGGCTTGCAGACGCAGCACAGGATGCAGGGTGAGGCCAGCAGCAGGAGTGGTGATGCCAGCAGCACAATGATGCTGACCCCCACCAGGATACCCACCACCTGAAGGACAACAGCAACATCTTTAAAGCTGGAGTAATCAATATTTTTATATTAACAACAGATCAGAAAACTAGATGTAATTTGACAGGAGTCTCTCATGGTGACAGTCTCACAGAGAATCACCACCCAAGTCTATGGTTTCCCTCAGCCCCACGAAGAGTCTTCATCAGCCTCTACAGCACATTTTATAATGTGCTTCATAAGCAGTATGAAGGGGGTCTGCTTTATGGCACAGGTATTTTATGTGGATCTAAAAAAATTCCTGTTGGAAACCTGTTGCAGATGGTGGGAGTGAAATGCTGATGGGGGAAAAAAATGAAATAAATGACATACTCTTTGTGACACAAGGCTACCAGGATTAAGGGAAATGCTACATAAAGAGAAACATTCAAACCAGATCAGAGTCTACCCAGACAATGATCTCATTATAAGATATTACAAACTATTTGACAATTAAATCATCGTTCACACTTCCAGTACATGTACATTATATAGCCAAAAATGTATGGACACATCTATCAATATAGCTCAGTGCATCTTTCATCTAAGGCTTTACTGTTTGAGCTAGGCTTCTTAGATCTAATAGAAGAAAGTCGACCAGCTACACCACAGAAAAATATTTTCACCTTTGTAGCTCCGGTTTCAGCAACAGCTCTTTCCTGTTCCCACGTGACAATGTCTACATGCACAAACATGGTTTTCTAAATTTGATGTGGAAGAACCTGACTTACACAAAGCACTTGTGCCAACTGTGAGCCAAGGCTTGTCACCCAACATGAACGGCCAGCCTCACTAATGCTCTGCTGAAGGTGCGCTGTTACAGCAGTCCATATACTTTTGGTCATGCAATCTATATCAAGAGTCAGCATGATCCTGTGTCATTTCTAATGTAAAATTAGGAAATGTACAGCACAATAGCAGTGTTTGGAGGCAGCTAAGAAGGAGTTACAGTGGCAAAAGGAATTTGTGATAAGCAGATTGTAAAACACATAGTATAAGACTTGTTAGGTAAAGGTGTAACCAAGACTGTCACGTGTTGTTTTCAAGGAGCAGCTGTGCAGTTGTACTTCAGCTCTCCAGACACTTTGCAGCACAGATAGCACTGACACACAATCAGGAGGTTCACTGTAAACATGAAACTAAATGTGTGATAATGGCATAGGATCAGGGAAAAGTATAAAGAAAGTAGGTCTGGCAGCCAATTGTAATTGTTTTTTGGAATGGGGTTGTTATTAGAGGGCAGGAATTTGAGATTAGTGCTGGGATTAGGTCAGCTTAATGTCAGGTAATGGACTGTTTGGGCACACTGGTGGAAAACAACAAACCAGCACACATTTTATTGTTTTTGCAGGGAGATTCAGCAAAAAATGTAGCTTCTGCTACACAGAACATGAATCTTTTACAAGTCTGTAGCCTGGTGGTTAATTAGAGATGATTTACACATTGTTTCAATCTTTTTTTGTTAAAATTTTACATAAAGTGAGACATGACATACTAAAATGGATATTTTACTGCCCTGTGTTAGTTCCTCCAATGTCTGCACTGGCAAGTATTTCAACTGTGACTAACTGAAGTGACAGCCAAACAGTGCAAGTGAGAGAGAGTTCAAAATCTGTAATGTCCTGTCCTGGCACAGTTTCACTAAAATCAAACTCATGTGTGCAATAATCTGCCACTGTCAGATGAGTGGTTCTGCAGGCTCGTTTATTCAATCAGTGACAGTGTCACAACAGCCCTGAAATCAATCCTGTCTGCCTGCTGAGTGGCCTCACCTGTGTTCTGTTCCACATCACAGAGGCCCTGGAGTGTCCCAGCTTGTTTCTGCATGGTCCCTTATCGTAATGCCTTAGGAAGATATCACCCTACATATACAAAATACGCACAGTGAGACAAGAAAACTATTTTCGAGCTATCACCAACACAAACTAAGTATAGTGAATTGGAAGGTTAAGTGTTTTGAGCTTGTCTGTAAAAACATGCGAGTCTAAACAGGCGACTAGGCACTATAGTTATTTTTCAACTTGTGTTCAGGACCATGCATCGCATCTGTGAACTGGAGGTGGCAGGGGGAGACTCACGTCCAGATTCTGCAGACAGTACCAGCAGAAGGTGTGTTTGCAGCTCTTACACAGCATCTGTGCACAGCCCTGGTTCCTCTCGATGTAGACACCACACATAGGGCACTGTTTGATGGCCATGTCAGAGTCGCTGTCTGAGCGGGCCCTGTGAATGGGGAGAAAGATACAGGAGATATTAGGGCCACATTGGCGTATGGAGCCATGAAGGCCTCAGGTGTCTCCAGGCAGAGTGTGAAGCCTTTATTTAGCAGCCGAGTAAAGGGTCGGCGCTCACTTTGAACAGAGTTCATTTTTTTTATGAAAGAAGTATTATGTAGGTTGATTGGTGTCTCTAAATTGCCCGTGGGAGTGATTGTGTGTGTGAGTGGTTGTTCGTCTGCGTGTTAGCCCTGCAATGGACTGGCGACCTGTCCAGGGTGTACCCCGCCTCTTGCCCGCAGCTTGCTGGGATTGGCTCCAGCCCCCCGTGACCCCGTTTGGGACTAAGCGGTTTCGAAAATGGATGGATGTAAGTATTATGTAATGTGGGTGTAACAGAAACGTGGCTAGTTACAGACAGGGAAGCAATAATTGACTAGCCCTTTCGGTTAGAAACAGTAGACATGACTATAGTGTCAAGCTGAACAATTCAGGTGAAACCATATAATCACCCATCCATCCGTTATCTACACCGCTTATTCCTGAATAGGGTCGCGGGGGGGCTGGAGCCTATTCAGGAATATAATCATGATATTTATAATTAAGTAAGATCAACTGAATTCAATTAATAGATAAAATGCCAAAAATATTCAAGCTAATACGATTTTGGTGGCTAGTCAAAAACATGTAAGTGGGGTGGGGGTGTAGGGGGTGCTGGCCTCTTAACCACAGTACAGTAATTTAATTGTAAAAAAAATCCAGGCTACAGCACTGGTACAAGCCTACAGGCTGAGGAAAATGTATACCACTCTTTAAAGTGCAAACTTAAATGGGATTTCAGTTCACTCTCCCTACCCATGCTCTGTTGTCTACAAACACACTGCAGAGACCACTGCTTCACTGCAGTGCACAGGCTCCTTCTATACAGTGAACCTACTGGCTCAGAGCCTACTGTCCTCCTCCCTTTGGCACAGCAAATTCACTATAACTCTATAACTCAGTGGTTCCCCAGCGGCATCAGTCAGTCTGGCAGAGCCACAGCTCAGAGCAGCACAGTGATGTAGCTGTACAACAGGGACTACACAGAGGGCACTGCTGAGGAATACTAGAAACTGTGTTTCACTTCTGTGATCAATTCAGTGGAAAAAATAATAATACTAAATAATTCATGTAACAGCTTAGAAAGGAGAAAAATATGCATCCACTTTTATAGTTTAGTTCAGTTACCAGACACTCTGAAATAACACCCTCATCCTACATTCAGGATGTATCATCCTCAAAGTGCAGCTCAGACTGTGGCTGCAGGCAGTGGGCAGCTGACCAACTGCTGGCTGACTGACCTGCTTTCATGAGCGGCTGAGGGTGACATCATGGGTTGGCGTTCGGGGCAGGTATGGCCGTCCTGCCAGGGCCCTCTGCACCCAGAGCAGAAGATGGTGTGACAGGTCAGGCAGGCCACAGCGGTGGGCTGGCCCTCCATGCCCAGCTGCACACTGCACACCGCCTGGCATTCAAGCACCGGGCACCAAGCTTTACTGGGGTCCAACTTGACTCCTGCAGAAAGCAAAGAGGAGATGTGACTGTGCACTTAAAAAGTAAGAGTAGAGATCTTCGATACTACATACATGCAAGTAATATTAGCAAACAGTGACCTGACCTAAAGCAGTATGACAACAATGTGCTTTTCATGCTCCTGGATGGTTTGGAACTAAAGCAATTAGCACTGAAACAATTAGACAATTACTGAACCAACAAAAAAAAGAATCAACAATATCTGGTGATGACTTCAGTTCTACCAACCGAGTCACTTGCCAAACTAAAAAGCCTGAGTTTTGCTCCTTCCAGCTTCTCATATGCATTTTTTCTCATTTCCAACTACTGTAGTGATCTAGGAAGGCACACTGTCTAAGTTTAACAACAGAAAGACTAGAAATCCAATGTAAAATGTTGAAAAAACAAACATGACACGTTTCACACACACACAAAAAAGGCTGAAACCTTCATGTGCTGACTCAGAACCCCAGCTCATCCTTTCATTGTGAGTCATAAAACCAGTAAGCCAGCCTGTACTTTACGCATTTTTATATCTCTAAACATATGAGAATTAGAATTTACGGACAGAGTAAACAATAACTATCATTGGCTTCACAGCACACTGTTACTGTGCAACTGGAAAAGACTATTACAGCTGCAAGGCAAACTGGCCTTGGTTTGCCATCTGTAAATGTCAACAGAAACCTATTTCAACAGATACTCCCTTTCTGCTCCAAAGCCTCTTGGGCAGGACCAAGATCTAATTTGCCTTGACAAACATTTTCACAGTGTAACTGCAATCAGATACATGTACAATGGATCATACAGATTTTTTACACTGTAGAGCCCATTACTTCACTTTATCAAAATGGTTAAATTTACCTTATAAATCATACTTTATGGAAGATATTAGCCACAGTTTCAGTAACCTCCTGTAAGACAAGAGGTCCCACAGTATCCCAGGTGAGGCTGTTAATGTGTGCACCTTTAGCTGTGACCTGAAATAGCCCACTGCCTGTCACCAGCCAGCGGCGTGCTCATGTACTACCCACCTCTCTCAAACTTCAGACGCTGATACAGCTCCACCTGATCTGCTGCAGCCAGGCTGGCTATCTGCAATCACACAGTCACACTGTATTCAGTCACACCCTGAAGTGTGTGTGCATGGACTGGCATAGAGATAACTGGGGTGAAACATAAGGTCTTTGGATTTTTATACAACTTCAGTGTAAAAAAGAAAATGTGAAAAATCCTGCATGAAGCCTAATAGATAAAAACTCCAAAAATAAATAGTGGTCAAGATTAAAATTAAGCTATTTTGTGGGTTTGCTAAGTCAATATTTCAGCGATCATCCGGGATCAGCTGGTCACCTAGCAACTGCAAATTCCTGCATTATTTCTAAAATACCTCAGGAAGCAAGCTTGAGAAAATTCTTTATTTCTCATTACAAACCTTTAAGACTAAAGACAAACTAAAATAAGCATTAAAGGTGCTTGCAGTGTGTGTTACTTTCTGTATGTCTAACATGGCTAATTTCACTAGGGGCCAACAGAAATTCTACAATCATTGAAGGCCAGTAATCACTTTTAATGAGGCTTTTCTTACATTAAGTACCTTAATGCTGTTGTATTCTGACAGGAAAACCAGCAGTTTACACTTCTCTGATGTGCTAATAACAGCTCGTGGGGTTTCACTTTCTGACTGACTGCATTTCCTCAGAAATTAGATTAGATTAAACATTATTGTCTTTACACAAGTACAAAACTGAACATTGCACTTTCACAGCACTTAATCTTAGTTAATCCAGCCCACATCATTTTAAAAACATGAGACTGAAAATTCTGCTTCACATTTCTTCAGAAGTTTGCTTGCAGCACTCTGGAGAGCAAACAAACCGGTAGAACCAGTAACTTGGAAATTCAAGGAACATTCCAAGAGTGTTGGTCTAAAACATTTTTTGTGCATTTTATGGCCTGTGAAGACTCTTTGCTTTGTTGGTTTCACTCATGACCAACATAAAACTGGTTTATTCGGGGCATACCTCAGAGTCCAGCAGCACTCCAGTCTTTTGGCAGGCCATATCTGGGCAGGTAATGGGCGCCCCCCCACCCTCCATGATGGCCAGCTGAACATACTGCTGCAAACACTAGAGAGGGAAGAACAACACAGCATCTTTAGCATTTAATATAATGTAATATACAGTATATTATAAATATATATATAGAGTCAGTATACACTGTAATGAATGCTACATCATAAATGACATGCTCTTTCTAAAAGCAATATGATGTGATCACACATTTGATTTGTACCACCCTTGATTAAAACTAATGTAAAAAACACAGTACATTAAAACATGACAAATGTAGAAAAATGCAAAGAAAACTGAGGGAAAATGAGCTGTTGTGCAAACAGGGCAAACAAAATGCCACATAAACACATGTTCCTTATCAGCACTTATGCGTCAAAAGTCATATGTTGCCTCGGCTATGAAATATAGAAGAGCAGAAACTGTGTAAATGTTGCGCAAAGGCAGACAGATTTGAGGAACAGAAAATAAAAACAATGAAGTGTCGATTTCTGTGGAAGATGAAAAACACATGTATCATCGAGGTCTGGGGTGTATTTTTGACCACAAACTTGTGCTTATCATGCCCTTTCGCATAAAGCATGACCAACTCTTCATTCACAAACTGAGCTGGAATTTTTAGTCTGTGCTCGTGAGCTGGACTACAGGAAATGCAGTCTAACTGATATGTGTATGTGTGAGTGTTTTATCTGCATGACCCTGTGAGTGCAACACTGAAAACTTAGCTAGCATGGTCAGAGATGAACACCTTCACTATCTAGCAGCTTGACCTATCAGGGTATAACACCAACATCTTGACTTTCTATATTCCAGCCAGACTGTTATTAGACAAGAACAGTGTTGCAGTAGATCTTGATTACACCTAATTCTGTAATAAATATTC